TGCGAAACCAAATAGCCGCCGTTTTGCGGTAAGAGGAGCGCATCGCGTGAGCGGATAAAAAATAAAGTATTAACGCTATCATCAGATGTTTGTCGGCACAACAATTCTGGTGACTAAGCCGCATTTTAGCTAGCGGACGGCAGAGTTTTCTTAGAAGCATTGTAGAAGGAAAGATCGAAGGTTTAGCAGAGGAAGACTGGAACGAAAATATTTCGACTAAATAAAAGAAAAAATTCAGGTCTAGACGACCTATAGACGGCATAAAGAACTCAAAGTTAAAGAAGAAGAATCATTTTAAGGTTTAAAAAGAAGTTTCAACGTTTAGTAACAAAGCATTCTATCTGTTTAGGTAAGAGCGACCGACAACCAAGAAGAAAATCATTGACTTACAAATAAATGGACGACGGGTCTAATACAAAAACCACGAAAAAAATGTCCCAAGTCAACCTATTTAAACGTAGTGACATGTCAAGGAATATGAAAAAGCTAAAACGTTGAATTTAAATTGTAATGTCATCGCATTACTGTCTAATTTTGCTTGCTTCGCTGTCAGTCGAACAAACTAAGACTAGAGCGTGAATGACGCTCTGTATACAGGTACGATTTTAACGCACTATAAGTTCGGACACTTTTTGGCGCGGACCCTACGTCCATATAATTGTAAGTCAATGAAGAAAATAGATAAAGTTGCGGTACTCCTAAATAACGATCACGGTGTGAACGTCAACGCTTCCTATTCTCCAAATTTTAAACTTAGCAACGTATAATAATGGTATATTTAAGGCCACAATCATCTACTATTGAGTGTAGGCCGTTTTTCTTGCAATACATTAATCTGGGTCAGTGGATCCCAGTTTTATTTCGGTATTGGACCCCTTATTATAACAAAAACTTAATCATGAAACTCCAAGTAATTTAACTTTTACGTTATAGTAAAACCCATTAAAAATATTCAAACTATGCATGATCGATTTCGTCCCCTCCGCGTGGTCACTCGAGAAACATCGTTTTATGAAAACTTTTGATGTTTGTCGCGGGTTTCCGATAATTCTTCGCGCACCCTCCAAATATTTTTTACTTACCACGGACCCCTTGAATTATCCCACCAATCCTAATAGAATATGGGACTTAAGAGAACTTGGATCGAGGTCTTTAGCCCTGAGTAACTAATTTCCAAATGTACATACACTATCTGTCTATCTGTGGTATTTCGAATCCATATCCCTCATCGCGTCCCACAAGCATTGATTTTTTTACAGGACGAACAAGTCGTGCACCTAATGGAAAGCTACATGTCTGTCCATAACAATTGCAGTGCCACTCAGAGCTTTAAATCGCAAAGATATGAGGGGCACTGCTACTGCTCCTGTCGCCCTGAGACGTAAGTAAACAAGTCCCATGTGCCTGTAATTTCACCAGTGTCATTATCCTTCAAAACTGGATCGCAGTAATTATCACATTAATGCTTGGCGGCAGAAATAGGCAAGATGGCAGTACTTCCCTAAACGATCTCTTTCACTTGATTTAGGAGCTCTGCTGCTACTACATCAATCACATTCAACAAAGATCTCCGTTTGATTTTTCAGTTAACAATATCCCTAGTAAAAGCATTTATGACCCACGCTCCTGCCGGCTGGAACATTGCGTTAGAAATTGATGTACTTTATCCTCTTCCTGACTCCAAGTTTACGGCAGCTCATTTGAGAAGAAAGCTGCATCATCGACAGAAGAGAGAGCTTTGGGAGAGGTTGAAAGAGGCATTGGATTTGTGAGTATCAATGTTTGCGTGCCACTTGCAAAAGTATCTTCTAGGGATCGGGTTTATACCATAGTTCACCTCTCTGGCCAAATACCGGTTGAAGACTTCAATTTTGTGTTACTAAATCTAATCTACCTACTGCTACTTTAACGAGTTCATACCAAGGTGGCATCAGTTGCCGTCTTACACAGCATTATGCGAGACAGTATACGATAATAGATAAGACCACATCTGCAAAATTGTAATTTTGAAAGGGAAGTTTATAGATTCTACGAATTTGTTTCATGAACTACGTAATTTGTTTCATGTATTTTCGTGATTATCGTACCAAGGTACAAAGTACTACAATTTTGATTAATTAATTCTAATAAATACTACAGTCTAATAAAAACTGCTTGTCACAAACGATTGTAGTTTGTTTTTGCATTATTTCGCATTTTTACATGTTGTAATTTATGTGTAAGGCCTTTAGTTAATGTATACATCTCATTAGGAGTCATATGGAGGGATCACGTATTACCTTCTTATTTTGTCCGTAAACATATTTGTTTAAGTAAGTTATGTGACGGTAAGTAAAGTAAACTACGCAAATTACTATGTCCCTTTTTTGTTAGTGCTTTTATTTTATGAAATGCATTTAGGATTTCTCTCAGAGAAAAGTTTAAGGAGACTGGTATCGTGATTGTGGCATCACAATACATTTACTCAAATATTTTGTATATACATACATACATACATATACTTCACGCCTTTTCCCATCGGGGTAGGCAGACACAACAGTTTTCCACCTGCTACGGTCCTGACACACACGTTTCGCCTCATCAACACGCATCAATGCTTTCATACACGCTCGTCGGTTAAGGGTACTCTTGACCTGGCCCTTCTTTAGGATGGCCTCAATTTGGTCATGATCGGCTCCTTGGTCGGCCCATACCAACTTGCCCGCTCACACTCGCCTTATAAATCTGTTTCGTTACTCTTCTTTCATTCATTCTTTCTACATGTCCGAACCATCTAAGCATCCCTTTCTCTATCTTTGTCACTATATCTTCTTCCACGCCGCAACGCTCTCTTATTACACTGTTCCGTAAATTATCCATCCGAGTTACTCCAGCCATACTCCTCAAAGCTCTCATTTCTACTGCATTAATTCTACTTTCATGCTGCTTCTGCCAAACCCAACATTCATTACCATACATAAGTGTAGGAACTAGCACCCCACGCACAGCCAATCGTGCCTTTTTAGACACTTTCTGGCTGCCCATGAAGGTATGCAAGGCACCATTCACCTGATTCCCTGCGTTCACTCTTCTTTCAATGTCTCTTTCACATTTTCCTTTCATATTTTGTACGCCCGTAAATATATATATAATTTCGATAAGGAAGAAGATATCCATAATATTAACCTTAGAACTAAATCCAAACTCATGGCACCACGTTTTCGTTTAACTAAGGGAAATGATTCTTTTATGGGGAACTGTATACGTTTTTACAATATGATTCCGGAGCTTATATTAAAATTACCATATCTTAAGTTTCAAACTTGCATTAAAAGTATTTCAATTGAAAAGTTATATTAGAAAATTGTAGACTACGTAATACATAAAGATGTATGGAAAGATAACGTGAGTCTAGATTCCACACAAATATGAATCAAAATGTATTCTATGATTATTTGACTTAGACTTTGAACTTTGCAGTGAGTAAATAGTTTTGGGTAGTCGTCTTGATACAATTTATAAAGACGACTACTAAATTATAGTCGTATACAAGGTAAAAACCTTTTATTAACCGACTTCGAAAAAGGCCGAGGGTCTCAATTCGACTATACAATTTTTTTGGTAAATATGTTACACGATAACTCATTATCATAGGCATTTGTGAACCGATTTTTCATAATTTTATTTTAGTTGAAAAGAGGGTGCCTCAGAAGTGGTCCCATTTAAATATGAAGAAAATATTCCACCTCTAAGGGCTGCAAATTAGGGGATGAATCCGGTTTCGCGTAACCGATTCCAATAAAACTAGGCAAATCGATGTATCAGTCATGTGTCAGTCAACCGTGACCATGGGACCTGTAAAGGGCCCGAAACGTCGGTTTATTTGAAAAAACAAATATACGCGATTTAAATCCGGAAAAATAGTTTCATTTCCTAAATAGATGTAATTCCACGAAATGTTGAGGTCGTTTTTATTAGTACTCACTACTGAGATTATTAAGTAAGTGTGATAGTTTTAAGTAGTATCACACATTTTTGAAGAATGTCAACATACTGAATGTGCATATTCTTAACAAAAAAGAAGGGAGGTCCTTGAGGTCCTTCACTGCTTATTTACTTAACAAAACGGCGACGGGCGCAGCTCCTCAGGTCGTTGCGATTTAAAAAAGCTCTAAGTGGCACTGCAACTTTTATGGATGGGCGCGTCGCTTACCACCCACATATTAAAAAGAAATAACTTTTTTTTTTTCAAGGGAAAACATAATACCCGTTTTTATAATCCGTCGTAAATTTCGAAGTTTTTATGACCATGTTTCAGTCATAACCTCAATGGTCACTCCTGCGTTCTCCAAAGCATTTGTGATGCAATGTCAGGTCTTGCACCTCCTGGGAAATCGCTGGTACATGACATACTCCGAGCCGTATTTACGTAAGTATTATCGAAGGCTTTTGATACATTTATTTATTTATTTAAGCTTTATTGTACAGAACACTGAAGTACGAATGGCGGACTTAATGCCATAAGGCATTCTCTACCAGTCAACTATAGGGACAAAGAGAAAAAAAAACACAATAGGTTGGCGCTACACTTACACAAGAAGAACAATATACTAGAAAGCTAATCGATAGTTTGTATGGTATAAATAAATAACATAATATAAACATACTTATTATACATACATAATAAACTTACATATATATTCTAATAATAAATAATATAATATATATACCCAAAGCAACATTCTACAGAGGCTTGATTTTGATAATTGTCAAACAGATGCTTGATACAGATACATTTCAGCCACGGAGTTTGCAATTTGAATTTAGACCTAAGATGAGATTATTTAAAGAACTGTTTCCGTGGCCAAACGGTTACCATGCTGGACGGTCACGCAGAGGTCTTGTTTTTTTTAAACGCGATGTTTATTTTTAGAGATGGATATGGCAGCATTCGTTGCACTACTGTTAAAATAAATTCAATTTTAAAACTTAAACTTGTAGACGGGTTCTTTTCGTACTTGATGACGTCACCAAATCGAATAAAACTTCCAGTCCAGTTTCAGGTTTTATTTACAAAAAAGTATATCTATTATACACGGTGCCAAATTAATTCTAACCGACGGGAGCGGTACTACACGTCCAAATGCAAAAAAATATAAAAAGTAACTATCATATAGGTCCAGGCAATCGTTTACGTGTGAGAAACACTAGACAGTTCTGAGTTTCTCACACGTAAATAAAATTCGGTTCAAGTAGTCACCATTGGAGGGAAAATCTTAACACCGCGATGCAGAAATTAAGTAAATAAGGTCAATGCCTAGCGGATTTTTAGAGAACTATCTGACAAACAAACTTGATTAGTAAAGTCTATGGTATAAAATAGGTTTGTTAAAAACTTAATTAAAAGTTAAATTGAATTTTAAAACAGAACGTAAATATTTTAAAACACGCGTTAAAATCCTTAAATATGCTCCCCTGATTTTTTAGAAATATCGCTTACGCACTTTCTACAAAACACTGACGATATTATATAATTAATTTCTAAATTACGTAAATTTGGAATCCCATGGTCGTAGGTTTGAGTCCTGTCAGGTCGAAGGGATTTCTCTTTGTGTTCGGTCTTTGTATTTAATAAGTATAACAAACTAATGGAGTTATTTCATAAATAAAATTTTAATATCTCGGTGGTTATATACATCGTGAAATTCAATAACAAATCAATACTAAACTACTTTTTCATAATTGTACTGTGACACTAATGTGAGAATGTTTTTATAACTTATTATCTCAGAGACACTCCAGAACCCAGTGTAAATTTTCTAAAAGCGCGTTTTTGCAGGAGACTCAGATTCTATTAACATCGGCTGCATTACTCTAAATAGTCATTGAATTGTGTGTGTTTTTTATTGTTTTTACATTATTTTCAATCGCGCACATTGCAGAACTGAGCTGGCTATAATAACTTCACTCCGCTCGCACCAATCTTCTCACACATCCGCTTTTATTTTAGTTTACCTTAATTATTTATCGATTATATTATTGATTCTATCAAGATCTTGATTCGATTAATGTCAATGCTTTTCATTCAGTCATCAGACATCGATAATACCACACTATATCATTTCAAACATGATTTTTATCATGTTTTCCTTTGTACCTATCGCATCACAATAGAAAAGTAATAATCCCCTGTTATCGGTCGACATTCTGGCTGAGAAATTGAAAAACTGCAGCAGGTATTCCTCCCTACGGGCCATAGCTCACGCCGACGCCTATAACCGTTCCTATACTGCCTTCAGATTTATTATTGCTGAGATCGTATTTTCCTCATGTCGAGAACAATACATGTTTTTGGATGTGTTATGTCTATAGAACTTGAAGTCCGTATAAATAACATGGACAATAATAAAACTCTAGACAATCACACTTACGTATTCTTCTCAAGTTGGGGAATTACCTCCATCAAGGGGAGGTCTCATATTAGAAAATTTCCTGTGCTATTACCGTTGGTCTGGTACATGAGTTCCAAATGCTCTCCTCTCTCTCAATTTAGAAACGTTCATTCCTCAAATTGGACTTCCTATCCAGTGATGACAGTGCAATCCGTTGGGTTTCTGAAGTCGGCAATTGGATATTGAAATTACCTCTAGATGCGCTACCTAAAACAACCGGAAATTTGTGAAAGTTGCTTCTTGCTCCTGCCGGAAATCCATTTTGGGATCTTCTTACCATGTCTACATCCAGTGCCTTGCCATGCGTTTACACTGACAGTTGTAGCTAGCAACCGGGTAAGATACTTTACAATTTTGTGTGGAAAATTGTATAGTTCGTGTAAGGAAATACTGCCACCGTACTATTTCTGTCGCCAAGCAGTAACATGAGCATTATTGCGTTGCAGTTTTGAAGGATGAGGGGAGCAGTGCAGTTGTCTCACCATTGATCGTTCGACTATCTTAACTACGGTTTTCTGCCGGGAGAGGTTTTCGGCCCAGAGTTGAAATTGTACAGAGGCAGAACCTTGGCTCAGAGACAGTTTTATAAAATATGGAGCATCATTAAGAACCCATTAATCATTGTATACGATCAAGTGTATACATTTATTTGTAAATATAGTCCTAGAAGTACTTCAGCATTTAATTTAATATTAATATATGGAGGTTCTTCTCATGAGTGCATGGAAAGACTCTCCCGGTGCACACGTAACAGCTCGGCATGGTACGTAGTGCCTTTTTTTTTTTTTTTTTTTAATATATAATAGACACACGCTTGGCCGCAATCTCACCTGATGTTAAGCGACGATGTGACCGACGATGGGACGCGTTTGCCTAAAAAATGCCTATTCACTCTAGCCTTGACTAGCCCCAAATTGTACTTTTCGGGAAATACAGATGCCGGTAGAGCATTCCATTCCTTTGCCGTACGCATCAGAAAGGAGGAGGCAAAGCGCTTAGTGCGAATAGGTGGAATATCAACGACATAAGAATGGAGTGCTCCGGACCTTCTAGTCGACCGAAGGAGGAACGGTGAGGGCGGAACCAAATTGAAAAGTTCCTGCGCACACTCCCCGAAATGTATCCGATAGAAAACCGACAAGCAGGCTACTTTTCTGCGATGATCGAGATTTTGGAGCTTCGACTCCACAAGAGGATTATTGTTAATAAGTCTCTTTGCTTTACGCTCCACCGAGTCCAAGGCAGCTAACTGGTATTGGGCAGAGCCGTCCCAAAGGTGGCAGCAGTACTCCATACAGGATCGAACTTGTGCTTTATACAGATTTAAAAGCTGTTCAGGTGTGAAGTACCGCCTAAACTGGCTAACCTTCCCAACACGATGCTTCAACCGATTTACGACTTAATATTAAGTAAGAAGTTGTCATTCAGCGCTCACTTCGGTCATTCCTTTCCGATCATTAAAATTAACATTTAGTTTCAATTCGTGTCTACGTACCATAGTTTGCTAACACTGGTTTCCTTTAAGAAGAAGGAAAGACTTCAAATGGTTTTCAATGGTTGTGATGTAAACTTTCTTCGATATACAAGTTTCAACATGTTTTCCTTTAGCCCTAACTATCGAACATTCGCAAATGTACATAAGTAAATTGGAAATTGAAGCCACATATGTAATCGTAGCGTCAATTACTCAATTAAAAATCACCCGCTTTACCAGTGGACTATCCCCGCTATAACCGTGAAACCATGAAAAAACATTTTGAGAGGTGAATTTTTAAATTGACGTAAAGCGATCACCATTTTAGTTTATTTCTGTGATGTAAGGTATTTTTGATGATATACATAACATCTTTTATGAAAAGCCTTTCAAAAGCCTTGTGCAAAAACATAGTTTCTCTTATGATTTCAGAGCACCCCTGCACGAAGAAGATTTCGTAGATGAAGTAAACGCAACTTACAATGAATTGTTAGACCCTGATGTTTGTTCTAAAGTGCATGATTGTCCTTTCTCTCTGCTGCATTTTGTTACATTTAATAAATAGCAATAAAAATAACTCTTGGATGTTTCAATTTCTGCCACAATTGTAAAATCTAAACAATTTAAGACATCAAAACAGTTTTTCCCACATCTCCTTCAATCACTTGCCTTAAACCAGTATTCTGAAATATCTCTAGTATTATGCTTGGAGGGTATTTATTGCATAACACAATAGCACCGCGTTAGATGATAAAGTATGGAGTGAATATGGGGACAGTGGCGATCACTAGTACAAAGGAACATTCAACATGAGAATTCTATTTACAGTAAATTTACCTCCATTTAGAGTTTATTATATTAACCACTAATAGGGTACAAATTGCGATTACAATGCTTTCTGGCTGGCCACGTTTGGCGCGACGTCCGAATCAAATAACGTTCTTGAGATTGAACTGCCTTACGTAAGTGTAGGTTGCCCCAATTGGCCAACGAAGCAGTGAAGATTATAATAAAATATAATAATCATATATTTCATACTAGCTGTACACGGAATGAGCTGGTGTAGAGAGAAAAGATTAAGCATCAACTCACACTGGCGCAGAGTCCAAGCGTCGCGTCGCGTCCTATTTTTCAACTACTACGCCTGGCGACGCGCGACAACGCGCGATGATGCTCGCATTAGTGCGCCCGGATCGCAGTGTGTCTGACACCTTACTGCGCCTAAGTAACCAAGCATCGCCGTCGACTCGCGTCGTCTCTATATTTACATAACACATATTTATACCTTAACAATGGGAAAATAGAGAAAATTATGCTATAGGAGAAAAGCATGACGCGTCGCGACGCTTCGACTCTGCGCCAGTGTGAGTTAAGCGTAAGGAGACTGGTATCACCACTCACCATTGCATCACAGTACACATTTACTTAAATATTTTGTATGCCCCTAAAAATATACATAATTGCATTAATAAAGAAGATATCTATAATATTAACCTTAGAACTAAGTCCAAACTCATGGTACCACGATTTTATTTAACTGAGGTAAACAATCCTTTTATGGGAAATTGACATATATTAAGATTACCATTTCCTAAGTTTAAAACTTACATTAAAAGTGTTTTAATTGATAAATCATATTCCAAATTGATGAGTAGGTATGAGTTAGATAAAGGTGTATGGAAAGACAACATGAGTCTAGATTCCACACAATTATGGTTCAAAGTGTATTCCATAGCATTTATTTGAAAAGAGCGAGCCCTAGAGTCTCTTGCTCATTCTTCTCAGGGAGGTCAGTGTAGTGAACGGACATAAGCTGAAAAAAAAAACGTTTTCAAGTGTAAAAATTTTACCTATAGAATAAATGATTTGAATAAATTACTTCCACTTAAGCCACTGAAACATAAACTTTATGTGTAGACAATGCATTTGTTGAAACAAATGACCCAACTGATATTTTACAGACACTCTTTTATGGGGAACTGTATACGTTTTCTTAATAAGATTCTGGAGTATATATCAAGATTATTATTTCCTAAGTTTAAAACTTACATAAAAAGTATTTTAATGGAAACGTATAACATATTATAAAATTGAAAACTAGATAAAGATGTATGGAAAAATGACATAGCTCCAGATTTCACATAAATTTGTTTAAATGTGTATTCCATTTAACTTATTTTAGAGCAACTCCTAGAGATTTTTGCTCGTTGTTCTCAGGTAAGTCAGCACAGTGAACGAGCAGTAGCTTAAAAAGTGACGTTTCTCTGCTCCTGTACTCATTAAAGTCAGAGATTACTGTCAATTATAATTTTATAAAGGCGCTCTTTTTAATTCTGAACCAAAATTCTGTTGTCTATAGTAGTCGCCACTGAGCTGAAAAATCTCATTAAAGTTCTGTACACAGAACTATAATGAAGATTATACGTGGGGCGCACTATAAGTTTCCGGAATGAATAAGAAAAAAATACCATAAATGGTCAGAAATGAATTTATTGTTTCTCAAAATATTGTCGGGTATCCTCTTCAGGTGATGAAAATCGTTGACCGCGTAACAGGTTTTTAATTTTTGGAAGTAAATAAAAGTCACAAGGTGCCAGGTCGGGACTTATATAACTTCCGGCAAACAAATGGTCGTGTACCAATGATTATTCACGGTACAATGATTCTCCAAAGCAACAGTAGCCACATGTCCAGTTTTATTAAAAAAAGAAGTAATCATCCGCTTAGAGGCACTGTGCACGCGCGCCACTTTGGTTGGTTTCGGCTCCAACTCGAAAGACCCATACGCTCGATTGCTGCTTTGTTTTGGGATCGTATCTATAAATGTATGTTTCGTCACTTAAACTACGTCCCACTCCAAATTTGACGCCCCTTGGTTGATTCTGGTAAGCATGGCATTGCACCAAGTGACGCGATCTTTTGACCCTCAGTCAAATTGTGTGGGATCCACCGAGATCATAGCTTTGACACACCCAAATGTTTGTGTAGTATTGATTATGACTCATGCCCGAATCTCATGGTATATCACATGCCTGTCTGTTTTGATCATACGGCGCACAGCATCGACGTTTTTATTGTTCACAGCAGTGGACGGGCGACCATCACGAAATTCGTCACTGATATTCTCACGACCGCGTTTGAATTCTGCAAACCAGCTATAAATAGTCGTCTTGCATGGTGCTTCATTGCCAAAAGCACTTTGAAGCCGAGAGAAGCTCCGCTGAGCTGTTATATTACACTTAATGTTGTAGAGAATCATACTATAAAAATTTTCACGAGTTAAATCCATGGTGACGTAGACAATCAATTTGTAAAATGACGCCACAATGTAAAAACAAGTGACAGCCAGATGAAACAAACTGTATTATACAGCCGAAGGGTTCAATTTTCAAATGCTGTAATTACTTTTTAAATATTGTTCATGTAAGTGGCCAGTTCCGGAAACTTACAGTGCACCTTATGTAGTACTGTACACAGAACTACAATGAGTTTCAAAAAAAAACGTCGTATTTTTGCTAATTAAAACATCAAATAGGCCACTACTCAAACGCTATACTGCCTCCTGATTGGTTGGCCTAAAAATCTTGCAACCGGGCCATAAATATTTACAAAAAAAAAGATTGGTTTATATTTTTTCTGTAATTAGCCCCCATTTTTATTCTATCTTTTTTTTTTTTTTTGTTTTGTAGTGTTTGTTTGGCTTTCGTTTAAATATAATAGGCTAAATATGAAGAGGCTGTATGGTGGAACTTTGCCTACCCTAATAAATGGGTTAAAATTTCTGTTCTAACCGATACTAAAGTAGACGGCGCTTAGGTTTAAGTCCACCTACCCTCATTTCCCTTTACCATTTATACCGCTATCCTTTTTAATCCGCTGCAACTGGACTACGGTTCGTAGTTGGAACAATCTGCAACTAACCGTCCTGGGGAACGTGCGTCCGCCTTGGAGCAGCCATAGACGCTCGCTTATTTCTGTAGATTCACCGCCATATTGAACTAACGTACTCTGCGTAGTTTCGCCTATTTCTTATTTCGCAGTGTGAAATACCGCTGTGTTTTGTACTCTTTGTGTGTGTTACCGTACTGTACCGTTAAACGGTGATAAAGCAAGTGATCATGGTAACTGGTAGTCACCTCTGACCGGCGCCAACGAAACCGTCACGAGCACCACCGCGTTTGTCGGAGACATTTAGACGCCTGCAAAAAGTAAAGGAAGAGCGACCACGTACGACCACGAAATCCACCTCTAAGGTCAGTGTAGCATAGTTCAGTTACACAGCACTCCCTGTACCTACCAATTCGTGCCGCTCCAGACATTTTTTCTCCTTACAGTCCACTTCTACTACTCTTCTTAAAAGAACCACCCAACCTGCTTGTATTCGTATACATTACACATCATACATAGTTTGACTGCCGCGCTGGCACAATTTCATTAAAAAAAACAATTGCGTTTGTTGCCATGGAATGTTAACAAAATATACATTCAATATTGGTCATTATTTTATTTACTCGAAGAAAACGTATTGTCTAATATGCAAGCATTACATAATTAGATCTTAAAATCTCGTACCTATTACCTAAACACGATTCTCGGCTTTAAGAACCCTCATTAAGCAATGATTGCTTAAAATATTTCAAGTGTAAATTTATTTTACCTATGGAATGAATAATATGTATATGTGACTATTTTGACTTTGTATTTTTCGACTCACGGAAGTTTAAGATGAACAATAATGGAACGCTTATGTGCCGAACATACAAACAAACATTTATTTATCTAAGAAGGTAGATTATCAGTATAGTAACAGCATTTTATGCAATCGTTTCATAATGGGGTTTTTAAAGGCGAGTATCGTGTGAGTTATTATCAATGATCGGAATTAATAGAGTTAACATAGCTAAAGTAAAGAATAACGTGGACAGTCCCTTCTACAAATCCTGGAACTTCTCGGAACTGATTAGCAGGGATCGGAATAGGTAAAGTTTTTTTACCTAAAGTAAGTTAAAATACAAAGTCAAAATAATCACATGTACATATTATTCATACCATACATTGACTTACAATTATATGGACGTCGGGTCCGCGCTAAAAAGTGTCCGAACTTATAGGGCGTTAAAATCGTATACAGAGCGTCATTCACGCTGTAGTCTTCGTTTGTTCGACTGACAGCGAAGCCAGCAAAATAAAGCAGTACTGCGATGATATTACAATTTAAATTCAACGTTTTAGCTTTTCCATATTTCTTTACATGTCACTACGTTTAAAAAGGATGACTTTGGACATCTTTTTCGTGGTTTTTGTTTTAGACCCGTCGTCCATTTATTTGTAAGTCAATGATTCCATAGGTAAAATAAATTTACACTTGAAATATTTTATGCAATCGTTGCATAATGAAGGTTCTTAAAGTCGAGAATCGTGTTTAGGTAATAGATACGAGATTTTAAGATCTAATTATGTAATGCTTGAAACAGACCAGTGTACCTGCCTGTTCCCAATTACGTCATTTTTTAATGTACTTAAGTGATTTCCCGAATCCCGAATAGGTTCAGGACCTAAAAAATA